CCACCCACCCCACCTACCCCACTTTCTCGCGCAATAATGTATGAGTGGTCCGGTATTCTTCAATCTTCCCCCTTTTTGTATTAAAAATTTATTTTAGCCGGATTGAACTTTGGTGGACCCACCGTGTTTACATTTGTGTATTAATGCGCAGTAGCCATTATTTATAACTGCGGGAGGTTGGGGGGGGGCGGGGGGGCTTCAAGTAGTCCTATACTAGTGGGGGGTTTCAAGGGGCTTGTCCTCTGGCAAAAAATAATAATGAAAAAAAATGTCTCCACGTTTATATGGCAAATTATCAATTTCAAAATGGCTGCCAATGAAACGGGAAGGCAATTTCCAAAGAGTGCCTAAGCTTGTAACTCCATGTTTGTCAACCACGAAACCTCTTTTTACAGATCTGAGGTCCACTGAGTAAACTAGATCTAGATCTTTATAAATGGAGGTGACACAAGAGTTTGGGTTAATGTTTATGGTTACGAAGTGACTAGATTAGATCTATTTTTTTTGGAATCGAGTCCGATTTAAAAAGAATGATACATTGATATATTTCGGAGTCTGAATCGAGTCCAGCATCCGACTTCTGACCCTTGTAGCCTACCTAAATATTTGCAGCATTTATTTAAGCTTGGCTTTATTTCTCTGAATGCTCGTGAAAATAAACTTGAATTCTATTTCTCCGAACAGTTTCCGTTCTCGAGATTTTTTTGTTTTTTGTGAATGGAGTGGTCCGCGTGTGTGTGTGAGAGAGATAGAGAGAGTGTGCGTGGGTGTGTGTGTAAGGTGTGAACGGGGATGTAGGGGGGGGGGGGAATGGTGTGGGGGCGTGGAGGGTTTAAAAAAAACCCTTTTTTTTCTAAATTGCCTTAGGTGTGACTAAATGCAAAATTAATTATAGGTTACTGCCAAAGTCGAGCAGTCTTGTTTCCTCGCAGTGCCTTTTGAAGGCATTCAAATGAAGTATAGTCCGGGAACGTTGCCCCAACCACAATTGAAGTATCTGAATATTTAGACATCTAAAAATCTCTAGCTCTAGAAATTGAATTCGATGCAAAAAATGCTTCTTCCCAGTCCTCGCAGAATGAAAGATGACGCTGAACTCTCGCAAATAACCAAAATATCTCGAGAACGGAAACCGTTCGGAGAAATAGAGATCAGGTTTATTTACCCGAGTGTTTGGAGAAATAGTCAGTCTGTTTATTTTGTTTTGAAAAATTTTTTGTTATAATGATATAAATCGAAACATGGGGACTACTTACCCAGTGCGGTCCTGTCTCTTTTGTTTACGAGGCAGCCATATTGGATACCGATTTGAAACGCGACTTTGCAAATGATGTGACATCTACTTACCTAGAATTAGAATTGCCGTAATAATATATCTATACTTTGGAGTTTGGAGCCATGTTTTCTCATTCACATAGAGTATAGAGTTATTGGCACGAGGGCTTGAGATAGAGCGAGATCTAGATTTTTAAAACATCTTATTTGTGAATGAATAAAAATGTGAATGAGAAAACATAGCTCCTAACTCCAAAGTATAGATGTTACAGCAGTTCTATTTCTAGGTAAGTAGATCTAGATGTTACATGATTCGCCAAGACACGTTTCAAATTGGTATCGACCAAGTAGAATGAGATTGGGCTTAGCGATCACGCACTCAACTCACGGCTTGCTGGGGGAAGAGGTTTTGGGAAGAGGCCATGGCTGTCGATTTTGTGCGATGTGATTTAAAAAAAGAATTAATAACAGAAAAATTATAACACACAACAAAATGAAATTTGTTGCTGCAAATGATGCTGTAGTGGTGGTGGAAAGACCCTGAGTTGTTGATTACCGTGTACGTAGAGACTGTCATTGGGCAATGAGAATGCATTCTTCTGACTTTTGATACAATTACACAGTCCTAGTAGGTAATTTTAGTTCTAATTCTGGTTATATGTAAAATCCCCCGATGACAGTTATAATGTAACCTCTTTACACTGACATACTCTCTTAGAAGCCGAGTCAGAATAAATAAAACGTTTTTTTTTAACCCGAGTCCGAATACATAAAAAATCTAATTAGACTCAAGTCCAGAAAGATAAAAAATCTAATTGGTCTCGAGTCAGAATAGAGCTGGCCTAGGGTTTTGGATAGGGATAGGGTATACCCCTCTCAAAATTTCCCCTGTTTTGTGTGTTGTTGGTTGGCCGGCCCTCTGCGGAATTCCTTCCCTAACCTATTGCCAGCACCCACTTTGCAACCTCTAAATTTTATTAAGAGGCTTTTTTCGGCCCATCCACTAATTTTCGGCTAAATAGAACTGACTGATCAGTCTTATGCCTGTCAGTGTCAAGACCCTGGCCTGGGGATCCCCAACCCACTGTCCGCCAAAATTCTACCAGATCGCACCCTTGTGGGCAAAATCGCTGAAGCTGCCATTTTGCTACCCTAGAATGGGTATAACATTTTACCAAAACCTCTAGAAAATTCCCGAAAACCCGTGAAATACAGAGAAAAAAAAAACGTGTAAAGAATACATCTATTAGGCATTGGTCACCTCATATTACTGTGCAAAAACAAATGTCAATAAAAGCTTTGTGTTAAAGAACTCTGTGTTTATTTGTCACAACAAATGTGTTCATGCTTTGGCTATTTTGCTGAAGTAGTTGCGGTCTTGGCGGTACGTTTGCGCTTGATCTGGCCATTTTTTTGCAATTGTGGCTGGGTGTCTGCAACAGTTTCTGGCTGTCCTGGGAACGTACCAGGTTAGCTCCTTCCTTGGTGGTCGTCAGGAATGAAGAGAAGTGGCGTTCTTTTTTTTTTCATCTTCAGCCACTTTTCACTCCTCACAGCTAATTTGCCGAACTCCTTGCACAGGATGTAATCCCCCAGGCCCAACAGGGATCTCTTGACTTCCTGGTATTGTCCGTTCACATGGTCCCGAAGTGTGCGCACCAAGTCTGGCAATTTCTGCCCCTTCCAGTTGATCGCTTGTTTAAATATGATTAATGCTTTTACAGTTATTGTTCTTTCTGCACATCGTAGCCTTGCTTTTCTGGCAAGTAAAATTTTCGTGGGAATGTATTTTTATATGGACAAACAGATGTTGAGCCAAAATAAAAAAATTTGACAAAAATTGCTAAACTGGAGGAAAAATGCCTGTTTCTCCGATTTCGTTATTTTTCACGAGCGCTTGATTTCACCACGCTGTTCACATTTATATTTTTATATATATCTATTTAAAAAACTTCCTGGTGAATCCAGCTGAGGCATGCAGGTGGAGCATTTAATGGAATTGCTTCCACAGTTTCTGCTACAAATTGCACAGAGCTAAGACAATGATATCAAGAAATTATTGAGAATTATAAGCAGCTAGCCCAACAGGGGTTTCTTGACTTCTAGCCAATCTTATACTATTGCATCGCCTTTGAACTCGGAACCTAAATTCACAAGTCAGTAGACTATGCATGCACAGGTGATTAGTTTTCTGTATTTTTGAGGGTTTTCTGTATTTTCGGCAGTTTTGGGGGTTTTACTGTAAAACGTCAAACCGCCCTAGAATTACAAAGTTCTGTCTGCTCACAGTACCTAGTTTCAGAAATTTGACGTAATAAATGTTGAGTGTCACAGCATGTCAAACTTTTTCAAATTAAATTCTTTGATTTTGAATGTCTTGAGAATGACTCTGAATAATATAATTTAATGATTTTGATAGAGAGCAGATAGAACATTTGGTTTCTGACCTCACGGTCTTCGTAGTAACTCAAAAGGGAAGGATTTCCATAACAAACGACCACCCGAACAAATGCATCATAGAAGAGACCCACCCTAACTCTAAACCTAAACAACTAACCTTATCCCAAACCCTAATTCTAACGCCCTAACTCTCTATACTGGTGGTGGCTCATTACGGAATTCCTACTTTCATAAGGCAAGGGGCCAAAAATGTTACATAGAAGTTTGTAATAAGGCTGTAGAGCACACAACACATGGCCTCTAGGCCTAGCACAGTCAATCGCAAATCAATTATTTTCAAGAAACTTTAAAACCAAATTGCAAATGTCCAATCATGGCACACAAAAAAGGGGGGGGGGGTGGGGGGGGGGGGGGGGGGGCATGCCAACCTTTAACCGAACCTCCCAGATTTGTTCAACCTTGGGAACAGTCCAAAGCGCAAAAATTACAATGCATTTTTAGGCTTAGGGTAATATATTTTAAGTTTAAACCAGCAATCATTAAAACAAAACTAATAATTTGCAATGGATATAATGTTAACATTCATGTAAAATACACACAGCATGAACAAGAATTTAAGTGCCTTACAATACCTTAACATGAGACGGGCGTGAAAGTAAAACATAACATAGATCTAAAATGACCTGTCTTATCCAGAGTAGTCTTTGCCTTCCTCAGAAATAAATTGATACTGAATGCACCCAAACCCCTATCCTTTTCTGGAGAAACCTTTGCTTTTGAGTAAGAGGGACAGTACCTCTTTGGAGTTTCGTCCTTAACTCCATTTTGTTTCCTCTTTCTTGCTCCTTATTCCATTACTACTGGACCAAGTGTTTTCTACTAGAAGTGACATATATAATGTTTTGTATCTCTATAATAGTATGTACGATGTTTACTATGCAAATTTTGATGCAGCTTTAGTTGAAGGGCCACCATGCTATGGCAGTCTATTGTAAGTCCCGCATGATCGACCACAGTGTACTGCGATCTCGTGAAGTGTAAGTCCTGTAATATTGACTATGATAACGACAGCACTGTGGGCATTTTAATAAAAGATGGTGGTATTAACAATAGCTGTGGGTGGGTGGGTGAATTGCTTCATTTTATGGTGTTTGTTTAGATTCAAAGAATTTTCAAGTGGTGAAGATTATGATTGACGACCAGGTGTAAGTCACAGCAGCAAGGGACCAGACAGGTTTATTTTCAAGAAATCAGGACCCGAGGGCCTTACCCTCAAGTCAAACCTCCCCCCTCCTTACAACCCCTCCCACCAACAAACTAATGCAAGTGCCAAAACATTTTTACTATGGCCAATGACAGTCCCAAGCCTGTTATACCCGAAACATCACTGTAGGCTTTCTTACTAACCCAGCTGTCAGATTAGTGGGTGGTAGACCTTCAACTAGAGCAGCACCAAAATTTTTTTTTACAGATATATATAGGCCTACATGAAAAGGAGTCACATAAAATGAAGACCTGTATTATTTTTACTATCAGTCAAATTTCAAGCTCAGGTCACTTCTGTTGCTCATTTTTATGTTGCACATGAATTTCAACTGCAACTGTTGCAGATTTTGAGATTTGATATTTTTATTTGAACTCTACTCTAATTATGTGATGGATTGTTCATGGCTACACGCATTTCTTGTTCTTGGTATTACTTTACTCGAAAAGAAGGGCTAGAACCCAAATGGCCGATCGGAAAAGTAAAGTAAATACTTTACTTTACTTGAGCACCACAAAAGCAAAATGTTACCAAATGGACTGAGAAAGTGTGAATTTTTTATGGTATGGGTACAGAATGTCGGTCCAGAGTAGATTATTTGTGACCTAATGTATGACGTGAGTTAAAAAGAATCTGGAAAGTTTCTCTGGGGGACACCCCTTGTATTTTCCCATAAATTGTTTTGTTGCAATTCGGCTTTGCTGCATTTTTAGATTTGTTTTCGGCAGCTAGAAGTAGTTGATTTGGCTCCTGAAAGTGACAGTGGTGCTTATGTGCGTGCAGTTGTGATACAAAGATCTACCGAAATGAACCCTCACATTTTTTTTATTTGTCAGGTTTACCTGTTGGTGTTAAAACCTAAGGATGTCGGTTAACTATGCGTCTGGCTTATCCCCTTATGACCACAAGGGAAAGTGTGGTTTACCTGAGAAGTTTGATGCTCCAGAGTTGCTTTCGTCAAAAATTGACCAGCTGATTGAACTAGTAAAGAAGAGCAAGTACATTGTTGTTCACACTGGTGCTGGTATCAGTACATCTGCTGGAATTCCTGATTTCAGAGGACCAAATGGTAAGTCCTTTTCTATTTTAATGATCATGTGTTCAGTTCCCAGGTCTTAAAACACATTTTTTTAAAGGACACTTATTGTTTGTTTATGTTGTAAGCATAATTGTAGGCTGGACTGATTAGTTTTTCTTTGTTTCTTGGTTAGTTTTATTTCTTGGTGAACTCTTTATTTTTAGGATAGATGAAAGCAACTGGTACTGGTGTCTGTTAACTGAACTTGCCTTTGAAATACATTGATATTTTTTTACTTTCCCTCCCGTCTCACACTCAGCTACCAGTTGTCTATTTTTTTACTAAATATTGATGCGCTGAACACGAATATCAACTTCATTTCCGTCGCAAATTAATAGTTTTTGAAATATTTGATTGTTTTTGACCGAGATAGACATGCTTTGGACCAATCGGGGGGTTCCAGGGGGGCCTGCCCCACTGGGGTAAAAGAAAATCTGGGGGGTTACAGGGGGGCATGCCCCCCTGTTTTTACCCATAATTTCATATTTTACTGTTAGATTTGAAATTGTCTTGAAAATAATTGATTTGCGACAGTTTTAGTGGCTTTATGTGTGATCTGCAGCAAACAGTACAGCAGTTTGACCCCTGAAACAGTGCATCTGTGTGCAGGAGTGAAAGTAAAAATTAACCCATATATAATAAAGCTTCACGGACTTTGATGAAGTGAGACTCTCTCAATGTGTATTATGTTTTTTAGCACTTTAATTATAATTTTCTAGATATCATTGAAAATGTAGAAAGCATGTTCAAGTTCAAGTTAACTTCTTCTTCTCGTTCATCTTTAAATGGACACCCCAGTTTCTAGTGCGAAGGCTGTTGTCCACCACAGGTCCTCCAAGCCCCCATAGAGCTTTGGGTCTCTCTGCCTAGGGTTGGGCCAATATTCCTTTTAAAAGTGCCTTGAGCAAATGGTTCCCTGTTTGGTTGCCAGTTCCGCACTTTCACTGCTCTGAATTTGCGATCTCGAACTTCGGGAAGAGGTGTTTCAGTCGGTTGTGTTCTGTGCTGTCTGAACAGAACAACCTGCTCTTGACAGGTGAGGAGGTAATAGCTAGCATCTGCGTTTGTTGCCATTTTTTTGTCCAAAAGTTGCCACAAAAAATGGTAAAAGTTGACATTAATTTTTGAGCTTTCAACTCTCCATGACGATGTATAGCTATATGTTGATAGAGGTAACTTAATCTTAAGCGCAAGAAATTTCAATATATTCTGTTTTAAGCATCCAAAATATCATTTGCAGCCACATAAAGGGTAAAAATGTGAAAAATGGTTTCACAACAGAATGAAATCAAAATTAGAACAGCACATAGATCTTAGATCTAAACAATCACAAAAATTAACCAATAAGGGCGTGTGTCCACCAATCCAAAGATTAACCCTAAATATGTGTAATTCAAGAAAAAGTACAGGATATTACATGAAAATTATGGAACCACACACAAGGGGCCTGCCAGTGTCAGTATTCGAATTTGGTGGAGACACGCTCTAACATAACACATTTATGTTTTAAAAAAATGCAGGAACAACATCAAATTAAATGACATTACGCTACATCCACAAAAAATAGAAAAACAACACATCAGAACACAAAGAGGGAAAAATTAAAGGAAAAACAGCAATAAAGTAAGTAATGTCGGCATTCTTGGCATGAAAATAACTATACATGGGCACCTTAAAGTTATCAAAATACATGTCTAATATATGTTATGAAGTAGATTCTAGCCTTTTTGGTAGAAAATGCGAAAATCGCGGCGCGATTCGCGGACCAAAAAATGCCAAAAATCGCGGCTGCGTCAAACGCAGCTACTAGTAATAGGGGTCACCCTGGTTGTAGTGTGGGTTTGTTCCTTCCACTTTGCTAGTAGCTTCCTTTTGATGATGGTTTGGGCCTTCAAAGGCTTTTCCTTTTTTCAGGTTGCTCTGATTTAGAGCTTTCTTTTGCTAAAGAATCAGCCGTTTCATTTCCAAACAAGTCACAGTGAAGTGGTATCTATTGTAGCATTACTATGTGGTTTTTGCAGAGATTTGCAATTGTTGTTGTCAAGTCATTTAGCTCGCTGTCTCTCTTGAATTTAATGGCTTGAAGTTCAGAAAGGGTGTCTGTGAGGAGGACCACGTTGCGAGAGGAGTGTGGGTCAAATGTGATTGAAGTGGCTGCAGTCTTCAGAGCACTTTGTAGTTAGTAGCATGGCTTTCTTTGACTTCCTCTCCTATTAAGAATTGGATTTATATTCCTCCCCCACCTTTCTGAACTGTATTCTCAGCTGATCCATCTGTGTAGACTCTCATCCATAGCTCCTTAGGATAGCACTCGTCATCGTGTTCGGATGCAACAATTCTTCTTCTAGGCAGGTCTGTGATCCTTTCTACTCTTTGCCAGGGATGTTGTTTTGTATGTGTAAGGATGTTTGGTCTTGCCAGGTAGACACAACGGCACAGGAGGAGATCTCTTCAGGAATATATTTGTTAATGGGCAGATACTCTTTCAGTTCTTTGCTCCGGTGTGCAAAGCTCACTCTTTTAAGTTGGTCTTTTGCTGGTCATGTCATTCTATTCTTCATGGGGTGGTTTTTATATTCTTCGGAACTTTGCCATTTGAGTCAGGATCTTTGCATAATTTCTGATTCAAGTTAACCAAATTATTGTTTTTTTGTTGTAAATCATTTGCAAGCTGTTAAAGTGTTGTAAGCCCAGAAAGCGAAGTTTTTCAAGAACAAGAACAAAGTGTTTCATTTAAGAATTGTACCTATTAGGTATCTTTACTTTACTTTTCTTTTTTTTTTTAACATTTAGAATTTGAACTTGAATAAAATACCTCTTGAGCACAGCCTAAAAAACTAGTAAAAAGAAAAATCTAAATTTTGGGATAAGTACGTCGGAATAGCTGACTGAAATGGTTTACACCCCTATCGACTCAATTTAGAAAATGTAACAATGGTGCTGCTTCAATCAGTGTTTCCTCCCACATGGGAAGTGAATTCTCCTCATTTCCATGCAAAGAGAACCTGATCGTTACTCCGCAGAGATTAAATTTTGTTGCTTATTTTTTTATATGAAATATATGAATTAAAAATTGGGGGAGGGGATATTGGAATGAATAGATTGGTTTGGAAGACAACTGCATTGCGGTAGTGGAGGAGTACTGTGCATATTTTTTTCATGACATGTCTTCGCTGATAGCGAGTGATATGGGTCCAAAGATTTGTCTTAGATTGTTGACCTAACGAGTGTTCGAAGACAAAATGGCTTGTAGGTAATGCTTCTCTCTATTTGTGCCTTTTATTGTGTGTAGATATTGTCTCGACATACATGTTCACAACAGCCACAGTTGTTCTTAAAGTTTATGGCTCGAGAATTAAGACAGGGAAAAATTGGACAAAGTTAAAAAATATATATTGGAATGTGTTTGCAAATACTTGCTACGAAAAGACTAGCTATTCAACTTTTATTAATTAACTAATTTTTCAGGGGTTTGGACCTTAGAAGAGAAGGGGGAGAGCCCAAAACACAACGTGACATTTGATTCTGCTGTTCCAACAGTGACCCACATGGCACTATTGGCTTTAGAATGGGCTGGTAAGTAAAAAGTTATTTTAAGCTTAGCCGACTGAATGAAGATGAATGCAAACACAAGGCCCTTAACTCTTAAAAGTTAATGTCTACTGACTAGATTCTGCCTTCCTATGGTTTTTTTTTTTGGTTTTCTAGTCATCATTATTTTCTTGCCTGTGTTAGGCCTATGACTGTATCCTCATAATATCAAATCCTCATTCTTTCCCGAATATTTTAGTTGGACATACAAGATTGCAGCTTCAAAACTCGCGTGATGCATCGTAATGAAATCAGGCGCTCGTCAAAATAATGGAAACGGAAAAATGGGCATTTCTCTGTGTCTTAATACATTTTTAATGGATTTTTTTTGGTGCTCAATGCCACGTGACCTCAGTGCTTTCTTGTCGTATGATCTCCATTTTTTTAAACTGTGAAAATGTGACAACTTCTTAACCTCTTTGTTATGAACTGTTTTCACTGTTATTAAAAAATTGAGATATGACAAGAAAGCAATGGGGTCGCGACCTTTTATGTCTATTTAAAAACTCGTTTATTTGTGGAATTTTACAGAAAAACATAGATCAAAGGACATAAAAAGTAAATTTGCAGTTTCCAAGGACTCTCAAACTTTGGCCGCCATTTTCTCGCTAATTTTACTACTGACACCAAGCAACCCCTGCCTCCATCAATTGAAATATCTCGTCTTCTAAGCAAGATAGATGAGTATTTTTTTTCAGCGGAATCAAGACAAATAAATAAACTGGCTTTAAACTGGACCAATAACTTCTTTTGCCCAAAAATTAACGAGCGTCTGATTTCACTGCGTCGTGACACATATATATGTATATTTTCACTAAACTTACTGCCACTCAACAGGGAATTGGCCTATGACTTTTAAGGGTTAAACTGATGTCTTGAAAGGACATGGTCATTTAGTATTAAATGGTTGATTAGTTTGGTGAAAATATTTTAAAATCCTACAGTTTAGTGGCTGTTCCTTGAAATTTGCTATATTATATCTCTGTTTCATAGCTGCTTTATTTGTTGGTATGAAGTAAGTATGAAGTCTTATATAATAAATAGATTCAAGAAGTTTTGAGACTTTTCTTTCCCTTTTTTGAGAAAATGTTGAAATTAGCCTGACACATTATTTTGTGAGGAAAATTTTTAAAGAATTCTTTTTTATTCTCTTTGTTACTGGGAAATTTCATGTATTGCAAGAACTTTAAATTGTTCTTTTCTTATGCAAAGAGTAGTTTACATTGAGCTCTTGCCCTTCACGCCAATTTTGTTTGAAATGATAGGTTTGTTATTAGATTTCATTTTCAAAATCTCAATTTTGTAACATTGTACATTACTTTCAGTAAAAAAAAAATCTAAATTGAGAGAAATCTGTATTCTTAGTCTCAGCATTTCATGGGTTTTATTTCTGTTTCCTTTTGTGCTTAGGTATTGTGAAGTATGTCGTCAGCCAGAATATTGATGGCCTTCACGTTAGGTCTGGTTTCCCAAGGAACCGACTTTCTGAACTGCATGGAAACATGTTTGTTGAGGAATGTAACAAATGTGGCCATCAGGTATGTGTTTTAAGTCGCTTTCGTTCTGAGTGATCAAATTGAAGTCCAAAGTGTAGTGTTCTTAACCTTAGTGCTTTAACAAAATGTTCCTTTTTATCAAATTGCTACACTAATACTTGTCTGTCTTTGTTATTGCTTTAAACACTGAATTTCAAGTTAATGTCTTGGAGAGCTGTAGTTCTTAGATCTTATGCGGCCTTGAAATTCAAAGTTCGAGTGAGAATTTCAAAATAAAAAGGGGGGAAGGGAAGAGGGGGTGGTTGCTCATTGTTGATGTACCGTAATGGGAACTTCACCTATAACTTTCTATTGAGAGAAGGCAAATTCTGAAAGGTCAAGAAAAGTTTATGTCATATATCTTTGGATTTCATGAATTAGAAATGACATTAGATTCTTTGTGAAGTGACATTTTTCACCTTTCTTCCATTTAAAAAAAATGTTATCTTTGCAGCATTAATCGTTTTTTATCTGTACTCTTTGTTTTAGTTCACAATTTCTGTGCTCAGTAGAAAGCTTATTGTGATGTCCCAGTGAAACTGAATATTTGTACTTTACATTACGTACGGTGGTTATAAAAAATGGAGTTCTTTCTTAAAAGTTTTGTGTCATTACAAACTTTTAGTTTTTTACATGTTGAGTGACAGGGAAGATTTAAATTCATTTTGATAGGTAAGGTTGTGGGGACTGTTTTTGATTTTTCCTATAATATTGTCGAATACTTAACACCTTGTCTGGTCTGAGGCAGTTCGTAGTACACTTTTATTCTTTGCTACCGTATGTGCTGTGGGTGTACCTGGTGCATCTTTGAAAAATCCGTATTTTGTTTTGTTCCTTTCTTCACCTTTACACTACAGCTTTGAATGAAGAGCGTTATATCCCTTGCTGATGCGTTCATGTCTATTTCTAGGCTGCTGCGAGTGGAATAGCACGTGGTAGCATCTAGAACAAAGTGAAGTGTTTTGTTACTCTAACACACATTGTGTGATATAGAGCCAACAAGCTGAATCAGAGCACTTGGTCAGTCTCAGTACTTTCAAGTTGTTCACATCGTTTTGGGGCTTGTTTTACACAACGGATGAAGTGATCTCTTCATATCTTTTTCTATTGATATACAGTTTCACTACTCTGTTTCTTATAATAACTGAAGAACCGTCGATAAAAGATTGTGACTCATAACAACTTGCACACTGTGGTATTTTTCTACTCCTATGGGAGTATCATATATGGTTAGTAGTCAAGGGATTAAAGATTATGACACATTGAAAATTATGTCATACAAGTATGCCTGCTTGAGCTTATTTATGATTTTATTTTAAAACATTTTTTTCCCAGTACATAAGAGAAAAATGTGTACCAACTATGGCCAGAAACCTCACAGGGGGTTCATGTTCACAGAAAAAGTCGAGAGGATTGTGCAGGTAAGTGGTCCATGTTTGTGTAATCTTTTTTGTTTTGTTTTGCTTTTATGCTTGAGTGTAAAAAGTCATTTCAAAGGTGGGGCTTTTGGCCAAGTGGGAATAGGAACAAAGAAGCAAGAAAGAAGACAGATGTTACGCTAATGTAAATATCATGCTTACACATCCAAGCATAGTGGTTTTCCATCTTCTCGTGAGCAGTCCATTATTGCCTTCTAAAATCCTGAGGGCTTTGTGTTATACTGATGAATTGGCTTCATGGAGTCTTGCAAGAATTCTCACACTATATTTTGCCATGTATGGGATATTCTTACATTTTGTCAAATGCTTCTCAATCTGTCGTTTAATAAAATGGAATTTGATTTGCGTATGAACAAAAAGAACTGGTTCTGGGCAGTCATTTTTTTGTGTCAAAGATGTTTGTTTCTTTTTTTTGTAGCATAGGAGATTGTGAACATAATTATAAAAAGTTTATTTTACTTGTGAGGATGGTGCTTTGTACCCAAATATTAGGATACATAAGATTATGCTTAAAACTTATCTTTGTTATTAGTAACTGGATATCACCTTGAACTTTGAGGTTTCAAGTTTTTACTTATTTTCTGGATGTATATTCAGGTTCTCGTATTTACTTTAGAAACATTTGTGAAGTATGTATCTGCAGGATAGACATCCAAAGAGTATTTTGAGAACTGTGGTCTTGTAAGATTCTGATGCTCAGGGTGTCAGGAAAAAGTGGGAAATATGCAAAGTTACTTGGATTGGAGACGGGACTAAACATGATTGAGTCAAAAGAATCCCCCCTTTTGATTTAATCAACAAGGGTGACCCTTGATAGATCTGTGTGAGTGGTTGATCTGATTAACTATTGAAATTTGTCCAAACATACTATAATACTCCAGATTTGGGCTCAGGAGCATCTGTAGTCTGTCCTGTTAATCTGCATATTTCTGTTATTTCAGGGGAAAACTGATTGACACAATCCTTGACTGGGAGGACTCACTTCCTGAAAGAGATCTGGAGCTTGCAGAAGAACACAGCAGGTATATTTAGCATGTTGTGGGAGCTCAGATATGTTGTGTAGGGAGAAAATTGTATAATTGTTCTAAATTTTGATATGGTATGTGAATTATTTTGAGTTCAAGTCAATGTTACGTCGGTTTGTTTGAACTCGCAGGTTATGTTTGTTGTTAAAGATAAAAAGTGATACCTACAATGCTGTGATTAGCAAAAGATGGAAACATGGAATAACCTCTTTACAGTCAAAACCACTTCAGACTACCAACCTTGGGACGAGCACAAATTTGGTAGTATAGTGGGGTTTTAATGCTGCCCAATGTCAAATGAAATGATTCTTCGTGACTGCTTGAAGGACAATAATATTATGATGATTTATTTTCTTTTGTTGGTGCTAGCTGGCAAAGTCCTGTGTGCAAGAGAGAGATTATTATTATGCAGTTGCCAAGTGGGTTCTGTGTGCAGTTTTGTAGCGTGTACCCCTGGTGTTTGCTTCGTAGGCAGTGTTGTGGGGGTAGATCTCCTTTATTAAGGATTGCACACCTCAGATAACCGTTTAAAAGGGCAAATAGTATGTGTATATAGTAGAGGCATTGATAAAACCTGGCAGTAAGGGAGGAAGGAGGTAAAAAAGGGTTAACTGTACAGAGAGTTTGATTTTTGATCATGACTTTGTTATCGAAACATGTGTACTTATTCAGAAATCTCAGCCTTGTGTTCTGTTGGGGCACCAAGGCCTCTGCCTTCAAAATGACTTTTTTTATGTTGAGGAGAACATGGAAAAAATTAATAGAACTGCACAAAATCAAAACAAAGCAAATTGTTGCCTTGTCTGTCAAACGCCATGGAACAGATTGGAAGATGATTCTTGGTAATGATTAGTGTAGGAAGCAAATATTCTTTGTTGCTATGCATTTTGTCAGTCTAGTTTTGTCTCATAATTTCTGCTGCTTGTTATGCGTGTGGATGTTTACTTATCTGCGTGTCCTGATTTTCAGACTCATGAGCTAGTTTTGTTGAGTCTGCTGATTTGAATAGTTTGAAACAACAATGCAACATACTGAACTGATTATCCTTGTTTCTTCCTTCTTCATCCTCTTTGTTTAACAAAATGTCACTGTATGTTTTATTGCTGGTCTCTACCGTAATCTGCTTTTTATTCCTCAGGAAAGCTGATCTGAGCTTGTGTCTAGGCACTTCGCTACAGATTGTTCCTAGTGGAAATATCCCTTTGCTGACAAAGAAAAATGGTGGTCAACTTGTCATCATCAATCTACAAGCTACAAAACATGACAAGAAATGCCATCTCAAAATTTCAACGTATGTGGATCAAGTTATGAAGAAGATTTGTGAGGCTTTAAATATTCACATACCAGATTCTAGTGGACCATCTGTATGTATCTCATCACATCATACTTTGCCTAAGGAAAAGGCAATATGTGTTGCCACTGATGAAGTGCTTCTTGAAAATTATACATCAAGTTATTCAAAATATTTGAAGAGTGAAAGTTGTGATTCAGATGACGTAAAAGACCTGAAGGTTTCCAAAAAGAGGAAACTTTCAGACTCTGATAATGAAGATGTCAGTGATTCAAAAGTTCATTCTCAGACCATAGAAAATCCCAAGGACGTCAAGAAACAAGATTGTGACACAGGTGTAACCGACAATTGTAAACAGGAAATGAAGGCAGACAAGCTTTTCAGCCATGTTCCACCTTTCGATCTTTGCCACACAGTTTGCGAAAAAACTTAAAATTTAAAGATGGTGAAGAACTGCAAATGTAAATGATGTGCGATATGTACAAACTGACAAAGGTGCAAGAATTTTGCATTATCCCCATTGTACAGGTTTAACTCCCCTTTCAACTTTGTGAATGGTTAGTTAAGAGACGGGACCTCTAAATTGAACGTCCATCTCTGATAGGACCAAGTGAAATGGGTTGAGAGTCTTAAAAATACCCAAGTTCAGGATTTGAACAACCCAAGTTCAGAATTCGAACCAGGGCCATCCCCTCCATAGTCCAGAATGATACCAATTGAGTTGATGGTACTCCCCATGTTGACCTGAATAGACAGGAATTATGATTTTGTGTTACATAAAAAGTCGTGCATATTTCTTTAGGTGGTTGGCAGAGAGGTGTAATTTTTTTCAATTCTTCAATTCTAGATGTGTATGTGCTTATGCTCTTGATGGTCTTCTCTTTTTGGCTTAATCTTTGACAGCACAGTAAATCTCTCATGTCTGCTGGCATCAGACTGAAGGGAAACTGGTAGTGAATGCAGGAAGTAACAATCCCCTACTTTGCCACAACAATTTGCCTATTGTTAAATGAATTCATAATGAAACATCCCCTGTGTAGTCAAATTGGCCGCTTGTAAATTTAGCCTGTAAAAAATTTGTCTAGCCTGCCTTTTAAAAAAAATCTGTATTTAAGTTTCTTTCTGTTTTGTTCAGCTACACATTGGTTTTAAAAATTCTCTTTGGATTTTCACTTGAGAGGGAGGTTCTTGCTTTATTTCAGTTTCTCGTGGCATGTCAATTTCTTCAATGTCTGTCACAGGATCTTTGATTATACTTCAAACTGTAATGTGAGACTGTCCATAAAGTTGAAAACACATGTAAATGTCTTGCTAGGGCCATGTGTTGGCATGTAGGCCCTACATATTATCTCTGGCCCCTAGTCTTATAATGTGGCGGTAAAAAAACCCAGTAAGGATTTTTCAATTCAATCCTTTCTACACAATTTACAATTATTTACTGTGTTGTGTACGACTGTTATTGTTACCACGTCATTGCAAAAAGTTGTCTTATGAGGTTTATGAAGAAGCCTTATCTTTCTCCTTTTTTTCCCCATGATGTTTGCTGGACTAATATTCCTATACAACAGAGATGACGAGGTAACAATAACAGTCGTACACAACACAGTAAATAATTTTAAACTGTGCTATGATTGATATTGGCGGCGCTGCGTGTGTACATGAGCACCACATTTTGATCTTTTAATAGTAAATCTGTTGCACTAGAGGCTGTGCCTGCATATTTCAGCCACACTACTACAGTAATAGTAGTAGTAGAAGTAGTAGTAGTAAAAGTAGTAGTAGTAACAGAAGTAGGTACTGTTATGTGACAGCAGATATCTAATAGTTTGTCTTGAAATGGTTTATACTTTAAATCTGGTTAAGTTGGTGCTTGCGGCTCTTTAGGCCAATATTTGCTAAAAAAAAATGCTGCTTCATGAGGATCGTATTTGTGTTCTGCACTTTGTTGCAGTAAATGTAGGTATTTTGGTTATACGTTCAAAAATTTTAATGCAATTGAAAATAAGCTTTTCAATGAAATGACAATAATTTACTGGACGCCCCCGTCCCCTCTTGACAAACCCTTAGAAAAGAAGACCTTATGCCTCCAAAATCTTGAAATTGAAGGCAACTTTTATGAGTACAATCGAACCTGTCCAAGACAGAATCGCAAGGGAGCAAGAAAAAAATGTCATCTAGACTTTTTCTGTCTTGGACAGGGGAATTAAGGGGTATTCTAGAGAGCAAGCATGCACATAGTAAGAATCAAGGGTTGCCTGGCTGGTCAGCAAGCAGCGGTTAAAAACCTCACGTCTTCTAAGTGCTGTCCTAGCCTCTCTGACAATGTCATACGTACGTCTTACTTATATTCATTGCACTAGTGCTTGCATCTCATAGGACCGCTGTTTGTTTGATCAATTAAATACAGAATCAAATAAACGCAGTGGCTGTTTCCACCCTTAGCCCCACCCATCATTGTAATAAGTACGGTCAACCAATGCCACCCCTCCTTTGCATCTAACAACATTTCTAGGAACTTTTTTCTGGGCTGGCTGTACATTCAGTGCGGCAGGCATTGGTCAAATTAATTTCACACATCTGACTACCCAGGAAAGTTTCTCTGCTGGAGCACCCCTCGAGAATTTTCCCAAGCAGTGATGAAATTTCACAACTGCACCACCCTGGGCTTGTGTGCATTTGGTAACAGTAACAGCTTCCCTCAAACCTCTCCCCCCTTCTCCCTTTCCTGGCCTTGCGGCGTGGGGTAAAGGTTAGAGTCGATGGAACCAAACTTGAGAGTTTTGTTTCAAATCTGGGCTGAGCCGGCTAAACATTTTCCATCTTCTACAGAACAAAACCCTCTAAAGGGAAGGAATTTCTCTTTCTGTTTCTGGATTGAGCAGGTTTCAATCTTAGACAGATGTTTTATTTAGAAATTTATTAAAGGTGAAGTAGGGAGATTCTGTTATGACAGGGTTCTGTCTTGGACAGGGTTTCATTAGGCAGGTTTGACTGTATGTACTTAAATTGAGAAACTTGAACTTTAGCCCTTGTCTGTCCAGATTTTAGCAAAAGGTGACATTGGCTCTTTTTTTAAGGATGTACCTGCATTTTACGTCTGGAGTTGTGCACAGTTGGGCAGTGTATATATTTTTTGTGCAATGAATGCATTTGCTCATTATGTTAGCCTGAGTACATGTTGGGATGAATGTGCTTTGAACCAGTTCACATGAAAGTCTTTATGGAAATGAAAGAAAGAGAAACAACCCTCTCATTTTGTGTTAAATCAAATCTGATTGTTTCAAATTTCTCTTGTTTTGGATCAATGATTAAAATTTCCATTTTCATTATACTTCTCCACCAGTGTTATGTTATCTTTATGGTACAATATTTTGGCTTTTGGGGAAAGAACTGCATTTTTATGATATATCCCATTTTAGAGTATTATTTCTTGACTGAGATATGTAACCATATTTTGTTACTAGCTGTAATACAGTTTTGTTGCTGTTCTTCGGTTCTCTCCTCCGGCTCCTCCTTTCCTGCTCTCTGCTGGTTGTTGTGAAAAGTAGTCATTGCTAGGTTCTTCAACTCAAAATGCATCTTAAATTTACTTTGATAGCTTAGTTTTATACTAGAACATGAGGTCCATTGCCTTTCAGGCAATCACATACCATTTTCAGAGATACTCTTTTGTTTTTTGTATACTGCTCAGGGTTTCTTCAGTTTGGGATATGACTTGATGCAGAGTTTTGTTCAGGCTGGCCTGCTCTTCTTCGACTCTAAATTGCTAAGATGTTATTAGCAGGGCAAATATGCTCACTGGGCCTCTCAAGTTAAAAAAAAAATCTTTTACCAAGAATACTAATAGCTTTACACCCTCATCCCCCCTCCCTTATCTTGGACGGGTAGTTGGAAGGCGCCACTGTAGGTCCTACTTCTTTACTTTACCTCTGTTGTTTCTGTCTGTCGCTCTTACCAGCACTAAGTAACCATTATTGTGTTGATGTAATTCTCTTTACACAAACAAACAAGCAAACAAACATACCTTCGAATCAAGGGACTGAAAACTGAAAAAAGAAGTTCAATATTTTCTTACTGTATCTGCTGTGACAAGTAGGCCCTACTTGACTTGAAGTTGAACCGAATTAAATAGCCTACTTTTGCATGAAAAGTGAACAATCTGGAAAAATGAGTCTATTATTAAATTTTTCTGGATTCGGAAGAAACAATACACTTTTAAGATTGTTCTTGCTCTTTGATGACTGATGTAATACATAATCACCTAGATAAATCAATACTTGCTCAGCAAGAAAATGATGGTAAAATTTGTTGGACGTTTTATATAAATGACACAAATATGATCTCTGATAAATTTTTACACACTTAAAACTTAAAATAATAATAATTTTGCATATTATATTTATATGGCACATTCTATGCGTTACATCTATCATGCTCTAAGTGCTTTACAACTATTATTACCTACCTCAGCAGCCCCTAAAACACTCAGAAACATTCTTAGCTTCATGGAAAGCATACAACGCAAAACGCCAACAAACTGACAAGACCTTTTGCTGTCTGTAGCTGGGTACCCATTCTCACTTTGGTGAAGTGAGGAAAATATGTGTAAAGCGCCTTTCCCAAAGACATAATCTCAGGTCTCTGACGAAATTCAAACCCTCGACCTTACTGTTATGAGTCCGAGAACCTTACCATTATGCCACTGATGCCAAATACAGATTGAATACAGGTGATACATTTTTGTTGTTGAAATTATGTTTTGTTGACCAGTGATCATACCAGGTACATCCTATGTATAAAAAAATGCTTTCAATTTACTTCATCTTTGCACACAAATAGTTTCAAAGCTAACTAACTGTTATATTATTTTCTCTCGGCTACGTCTGAACTCAGCGAGTAGAGTAATGAAAACGAAAGAGAAAATATAGAAACAAACACAAAAGAAAATGTTTCAAGCGTATCCCTATGCTTGGATGTTCATATATATATATACCATGTATGTTATTCTGCCATTTGAGGGGATACTTAAGTTGTACAAAGCCAAACTGCTGAACTTTTCTTGCTATTTTGGGTATTATTCTACTTTCATTAACGTTTCATGTTCAGGTACTATATATAACACTTTTATTGTTCTTTTGCATCCATTTCATACGAATATTGACTCTCTATCCATCGCAAATTATTAGTTTTTGAAATACAGTCGAACCTGTGTAAGATGGAATCGCAAGGGACCCAGAAAAAAATTCCGTCTTAGACAGTGGAATTTAGAGAGAGATGGAGGCATTGGTCAAACTAATTTCACATCTCTGGCTTCTGGATATCCAGGAAAGTTTCCATGGTGGCTCGCTACTTGAGCACTTTCTCTGGCACTCATGAGATTTCATACCCTCACCACCCTAACCATCTGCATCGCTCAGGGCTCACATAGATGGGGGGGGTGGTACTCTGAGCATCTAGGGTAACATCTACCTCCAAATTGCACCTCTGCTCCCCTTCCTCACCCGGCGGCATGGCATTAAATTTGGAATCGGCTGAACCAAACTTACGAGTTTTGTTTCAAATCAGGGCTGAGCGGGCAAAGCATTTTCCGTCTTACACAGTCAGAAAAGGAGCGGATTTTTCTTTCTGTCTCCTCGTTGGACAGGTTTTTGTTTTATACAGGTATTTAAAAAGGAATATATCAAAGGGGGAGCGGGGAGATTCCTTTAAGACAGGTTTTTGTTTTACACAGGTTTCCGGCAGGTCTGACTATTTGCTGGCTTTTATTAAAAATACATAACATAATATTATGTAAACCTAATTGGGTACCGATAGTACATTTCACACAATGGACCAATGTGTGGGGTTTCAGAGGGACATGCTCCCCTAATTTTCTGCATAATTAGGTGTTTTACATTGAGGTTTGAGATTTTCTTGAAAATAAGTGATTTGCAACAGGTTTTTTTTAGTGGCCATATGTGTGACTGGGACCCCCCAAAAGCAGTGGATCTGTGAGCAGGAGTGAAAGTAAAATTTACCATGTACCTGGGGGAGACCTTATACCAATCTATATACTAAATGGGTAGCAGTTCAAATAGGATTATTTTCCATAAACTGCTATGAGTGTAGGGTTCCAAGACGAGAAAAGAAAAAATGCACGTAATTAACAGTGCGAATCTTCCTGAACACGTTCAAAGAAGAGCTTTGGTTCTTTAAAATAAAAGATGGATTAAGCGTGGTGACTTTCTTTTTATGGTTCCTGAAATGAAGAGCTCAGAAGTTGAATGCACAGAATTCTACACTAAGTGTAGAATTCTGTGGTTGAATGCAAAGTGCAGAGTGCAGTGATCACAACAAAAACAAGTCTCTGAAGTCCGAAGTCACACGGAAGACTGAAGAGAAGACTGTTTTGTCCACTTATTGCTTTTGTTTAAATGTTTATCTGTAGCTGTTCTATCAATTTGTTTTGATCCCAAACATCCCGATACTGAATTGATAGAAGCAGAGTTACCCAAAGATTGAATCTATTCTAAAGTTATCGCCGAAGACGAAGAAGTTCAAGAAGTGGATCTTCTTTTATTTTATAGATTAGAACTTAGCCAGAGGCTAGACGATTCTCTTTTAACATTTTATTAAAGTTATCTAGATCTATATATCTAGATCTAGATCCTAATTACTAGTATTATTAGGCCTATGTGTGGGAAACAATACTAACTTTAAGTACTACAACACTTGAATATAAAGTGCCAGTAATGGCATCGTCTGATGGGCCTCGGACTCATCAGCAGGCTAGTGACAAAGGTGCCAGAGACCATGTTTTATGCCAGACTTCTGCTCTAAATCTACCAGTAGAATTGCAAGATGACCAACAAGCTGCTGTCTTGTATTCACCCTTTCGTGACAAATCAGTGAACCCTCGATCATGGAGCAGAAAGATGGAATTCTGGGCAGCGCTTTTATTAAGTACTGCATTAGAAAGAGACATAATTTCTTTTGATAGCAATACTTTACCAGCTTTGTTTGAGAGAAAAGGCATGACACCCAAGTGCCTCAAAACAGTCATCGAGGAGCTGAAAAGGTGAACTTCTGTCAGACAATCTGACAGTGTGATAGAAGTGTTCATGCTTCCTTTGACTTGAACTTAAAATATGTGTGTATGTGACATTTAGATCTAGTTCTTTTTATCTAATTTCTAGCCTGTCACTGTGGCTATTGTGAGTGATTTAGTGTGCTTTTTTAACTCTTTCCGGGCGTATCGCTGATATATCGGCGCGAGTCCACACCCCTTGCGGATGTATCGCCGATATATCGGCGCGAGTCCACACCCCTTGCGGATGTATCGCCGATATATCGGCTGTGATAGGGTGCCTCATTATTGTTTAGTTTTAACATGATCCATCATTTATTGTTATTGAAAAACTCGGAAAGGATTTAGGAAACAAAATCATCTAGTTTCACTTTGTCAAAGCGTGGGTTTGGGGGAAAACGGGTGAATTGGCTCTTGCGGTCTTGCATCAATAAAACGATGTAACCGGACTCAGTCTAAATATCACTCAATCAAAAATTCGAATATTTGCTTTCAAATAAAAAGCTGCGCATTCAGAAATTTATGGATTATAATGCTCTTGGCCTGTATAAGATAGCTATGCTGATTTGCTTTGACATGTTTGGTGAATGTAATTGCTTCCGTAAAAATTTATTTTTCTCATCGTCATCGCCATTTCTAACCCTTCTAATGCATGAGCTTATGTTCAAAATTAATCCTTGATTTATATTGGGATGTTTTCCTCATTCAATTTCTTTCAATTTGAAATATCATATGTTGCGTTTGGGGTGATGGTATGCTTCTATGAAGTTATTTTGTACATCACCTGCATAGCCAAAGCAAGCCGCAGGTTAATTATGTCTGGACCCCAAAAAAACTACGTCCTGAAAGAGTTAAAAGCAGAGTGTTGTACTGTTGTTCACAAAATTTATTCCTTCTTGGAAGATAATACAGTAGTCTCCGCCTAAGATCCCGGTGCTCGGGAGCAAGGAAATGCGGGATCTTAGGCGAACCGGGATCTTAACCGACGAACCCAGGGAAGAATCTATGGTGACCCATGTTAAGGCTCACAATAGGTACAATGGTCTCCCTCCCTCTAAAATGAACTGACATGACCGCTTGGTGGTTTATGACGTATGGCGAGCAAAGAGAGGTTAACCTTGGTGACCTATCACGGTGCATAGTGGGATGAGGCGTGCCATTTTCACTTTTTATCCTATCATGAGTCTCAAGATCTACGCGTATCCAGTTGCCCCTCCCCCTTACCTGTCAAAAATTTATAGCTTTCCATCTCTGACCGAGCCCCCCCCCCCCCAAACCGCCTTTGTCGTTACACGCCATTACGTTGTGAACACACCAATTAATATTCAGTCTGTCTCGCAAATTCGGGAGTAGAGACAACTTCTGCAATGGTCAGGGAAGAGTACACAGTTCAATGTGATCCCGCCTGGAGCGAACGTGTAGGCCCTACCCACCAAGCGAGTGATGTAAGTTTAGAGGGAGAGCTCAGGTGTGAGTGTGATGTGTGGGGAAAACAAACGTGTCGGTCAGTTCACACCCCGGTCTGATCCGGTCTGGGGCAAACATAGTATCGCTTCATCGAGTTTTACAACGTGTATGTGATCACATTCACGATAGTGGCTGATCTTTGACGAGACGGACAGTTTATTGATCTCAACTTTTCACTCTTGTTTGATCGGCTGTCCCGCCCGGGTTTTTGTTCCTCAAATTATGATCTGAAATGCGGGATCTTAGCTGAATATATAGACCTTCAGAGTGAATCAGAGCGGGATCTTAGGGGTGACTTTTGTGTAGTAAAAATTCTGTTTTCTTAAAACAGCGGGATCTTAAGCGAACTGGGACCGTAAGCGGTGGGATCTTAGGCGGAGACTACTGTATAGCCACAGTCTGAGCCCTTTTTATACTTTTTTTTTTTTTTTTTTCCCCGTGTCCTGATTTTGGTGCCGGTTTTTGTTGGTTACGTAAAAAGAAAGTAATGGTGCAGATTGTTATATGAAAGGGGAATTGTTGAGTCGGTAATGATGATAATGATGATGATAATGCTGCTGATGATGATGATGTTGTTGGCGATGATGACGGTAATGGTAATTGTGATAGTGAGCATGAGGATTATTATTTATGTTGGCGATGATGATGTTCCGATGTAGGAAATGACATGCGTGTTAGTCTTAGTGTTAAGTTTGTTTGGTGCTTACTCTAGATCCCCTCCAGGCTGTCCTGGGTGCCCTTTTTATACTTTATTCTTATACGCTTACAAATTTCTGTTCTGTTTTTTTTTTTTCATCTCAATCCTGGCTCTTTTGTTTGACAGTTTCTTTTTACATCATAGAGATGGGTGTCTTTAAAATACACTTTAAAATATTTATAGAGATCAAATTACATTTTCTTTGAATTGCATTTGCTTTCACTTTCACTTTCACAAATTTTCTACTTTAAAACTGAGATTTAATATGGTTTGTGAATTGTTATTTTTGCTTTTTTGACATGGAGGCACCTGTTCTTATTATTGCACTGCTGTAAAGATGACTAATGAAAGTTTTTGTATTATAGTTTGATGACACTAGTGGCATTTTCTCACTCTCTCATTGCCCGGATTTGATTGGAGCCCAATAACCTGTTCTCACACTTGTCTTACCTTTTCAGTCTTATCTGAAGTAGAAATAGGAAAATCTGTACTTGCCAGTGCGCTACTGCATGGGGAATCTGAAGATATTGTAATGATTTTATCATGTATAAGGCTGTCTGTGGGTGAAAATTTCCCACATTTAATTGAATCAGTTTGACTATGCAATTTTTTTCTCCTTTTTTGAAACGTACAACCTTTTCCCTTAAAGTTTCAAGTTCCCGGTTTCGATCAGATATAAGAAGTCGTTTAAAAATGGGTTTTTAAAAAATAATTTGTGTTTTGTATCATGTTTTTTTATATTTTTCTTCTTTTTTTTCAAATATTTATTTTTCCAACTTTAAATTGTTTTTCATCTGAACTCTTGCTTCATTTTTTATACGTACATCCATTGGTAATCTTTACTAAAATAGAGTTTTTGTGACGATAATAAAAATGATAATGGCAGTCAACGTTTTTGCTGGGAATTTTGAGATTTTTTTGCTATTTGTCCATTTCCACAGTCCATAATTATTTTTATAACTATAATATTAAGATCCTGGAGTTACTTGTTCATTATATTATATGTGTTGCAGTTTTTATAATTGCTAACAATGAAAGCAAATGCATGAAAACTAAGAGAGAAGATAGCTTTCAAAATTTGATGAAATTATCCAAGATAGTGGATGTTTGCTTGGTTACCATGTGCTTATCATAATAATTATTATGAACTTCAATTTATTCTTTGACGTCTGACTATATATCTTTGCTCCATATACATATTTACTATTATTTAGTCAATGGATTTTTGAAATTTCACCAGCAGATGGCTGTAACTGACCTTTAATTGCTTGTTTCCTTCAGCTCTTCTCTACACCTTTGAAAAGATTATTTTTGCACTTAGAATTTCTTTTTCTGATACCTGTTCATGAGGCTCATTTTAAACTTTTTTATCTGGTGTGATTCTGATTTCAGGTCAGGAAAATTACAGTTTTTAGAGGACTACAACAGAACGGAGGGATGGCTTTCCTGGGGGCTGAACAGCCTTGTCAAGCAACCTTTGTCATGGGGAGTCAGCCGTATCTTAGGATCAGCAAATAAGAACTCCAATATTTATGTATGGCCTGAGGTTGTTCAGGTAATGATTGATTTTTTAAACCCTTGAAAAATATGTACTCTTTTGTTTTTATATGTGACATGTGAGCCACAGAATATGATCACATGACTACATGCTGGAGTGTATGAAAGTTGCTGGCAACAAATTTACCACCAACTGTGGTCATTTCATGCGGAAGCTAACAGAATCTAAGATGAATTTTGTCTTGCAAAATCTGCAGTAAAAATTCCATATTTTAAGGAGAACTGTGTCTTAGGCAGACAACACCATTTCACAATGGGCTAATTTTTTTATCAAAATAACTATGTTCATCACAATAGGTTGTCAGTACATTTTGGTTTATTTCTTTTCAGTTTTTCTATGCTATATTTGCTTAGAGGTCAAATGTAGCAGTTTTTCATCGTGAACTTACTCAGTGAGCTCTCAACATACACGTGTGTCTTTGTGTGTATTAAAACACATTGTGTGTATGCATATTTGTGCATGTGAGTGCAGGTTCATATACACGTTTGTTTGTGAATGAGCAATATATCATGTGCACAATTTTTATGAAATTGTACATGTATGTTTTAATGTGATTGTTCGACCTGCGATGTATGTGCTTTTATCAACTATGAAGCCTTTGTTGTGTTTTATACGGTAATTAAACAAAAAAGTGATTACATATACACAGAACCCTTCAATTAAGAAAAGTAGGGTCGGCCTTAAGATGAGCTTTGTCATTGTTTAGTTAGAATGATAATAACTTGGGAACTAATTCATAGGATCCATTTAATTAATCTTGCATGTTGATATGATTTGTTTTCTTTTTTTTTCTTCTCTTCTCTAGAAAGTCAGTGATAAACTGGTTGATTTTCATCACAGAAATATGCAACATGAAGTCACAGATTGTGTCACAACACTAGCTGCCTTTCGGGGTGAATGTCTTCCGCTAGTCCCGCAGGATGAGGACTTTAACATTGTTCTTCAAAATCTCAAGAAAAGTGGAAGAGTACAGATCAAGGATTTAGAGGACGGAACTGTTGTAAGCAAACTGACAATGTGGTATAATAGTTTTATCGTTATTCTTGCTCATAAATCACAGACCTCAGCTTGGCAGAATATTTATTAAGTGATTTCAGATAATTTTGAAAGGCATTGACCTTATGCTGTACCATCATGATATATTGTCCCTTATTATACTGTGCCTTACCACACCAGACAGTTTTATTGTGTCGCACAGTACCATCCTTCACTAAAGCTAATGAGCAACTTGATCATCGGGCGGCTCTGTTTTTTAAATTATTTGATTATTATAAGCTAGAGCAAGTACATGTATTTGTTGTCAATTTCTAAAATGATATCTGTGGTTTCTATATCATGCACCTGGCTTTTTATGTTCTTTAGGTTGTCAAACTTTGTAAAAGAGGACAATCAACTGCAGAACCTTTTAAAGATACAGATATCCAAATATACAGGTGAATGACTTGATTTTAAAAAACCCAACAGATTTGGTATCAGTATCATTACACTGTGAAAAAATGGATCAAGTTAGATGTCATGTATAATCTTTTGTGTTGATATTTCTCTCATTACTTTCCTTCTTTTTGATAGCTCATGTCTCGCACAAAGTTATTACTTGTATAGAGCAGGGAAGTAAAATAGTGAACAAGATTTATATAGCAGAGATGCCAACCACAGAAAACCGAAATGAGTATTGGGAAATATGAAAATGTGTATTTTCAGAGGAAAATGTGTATTCCCCTCGGCCGACCGACCAACTAGTAAAATGTTCAGGGTGTCCAGCAATATTTCCTGAAAAAAAATTTACTAGCTCGCCAGCTCAAAAAAGGGAGCACACACGCGTACAATATACATGTATCCAGTCAACAACAAGTCAGTGTTCAGTGTCGTACTGGGGTCTTGTTTTACTTAAGTATTTCAGTCTATTATAATATTTTCCTCTCATTATTATATAACAAAAATTAATCCTGCTTTGAGTGTTCGGAAGGGCCTAGAACAAGAATTTCGATTATCAAAAACCAGTCTGGGTGTCATGATTCATATTATGAACTGACAGACTAAAATTATTGCTCAAACTCAGTGAAGAGCAATAACTTGAATGGTCCAAGTAGACCCATGCACTGTGAGAGTTGTAGGCCTAACAACTGTGGGAGGGCAAGATGCAGTGACACTGAAAATCTGCCTGTCTTCAACAGAAAGCTACAACATACACTGTAGGTATAATTTACTATCACGCATCCAATGAAACGTGAACACTTTATTTCAGTAACACAGACTTACAAAGTATGAATGGCCCCATTCCGCTCACGGCCTGCACCAACGCGCACTTTGCAGAGAGCTCTAATCAAAATTCAGAAATTTGCTTCCAAGTTTTTGTCCTCTGGTGTTGCCTTACCCCCCCCCCTAACCGAGTGTATCTTATTTTTTAAAAATCAATAATCCCCTCCCTTATTCCGTAGTCCTATACTTTGCATTGCAGTTACTCTCACCAAAAGCGGTCTTTGCTCACACGAAGCCGCATTTATGTATGGCGTGAATGCGTGCAGGTTCATTGACCGGTCACAATGACGAGCCAGACAATCTAAAAAACGAAGGACGCTTGTATTTTCTTTTCTTTTTTTCCCACAAGTGATAGCACAGAGACGAGTCCGAGTATTGATTAAATTCTATTTGCATGGCAACACAGCGTTTACACTTCACAACCTGTATGTCACAAATGTTGCGTTGTCACACTACTGATGGCAAACTTCTCTGTGGTAACGAAAGCGAAAGTAGATCTTGATTTTCCCGATGGAGCCTCGGTGTCACATACACTTCCACCTGGCGCCATAGCCGCCTGTTCGCGTGAAAGTGAAACGTACTCTGGGACAGGGAAAAGCTGAACGAATATAATATCACAATCGTGACGGCAAATATGAACTTACTGACCTTATCGGACTTGGTTTTCAAATATTCCAGTTCCGTGATACTGATACTATTTTGACAAAAGATGGGACTTGAGATAATTAGGTTTACTCGCCCAAGCTGAATCTCGTATTTTTTGCATTCCAGGATGCGTACTTTTTCATGAAAGTCGTATTCGCGTATTTTCGGAAAAAAATCGTACTAAAATACGTAAAATCGTACTGGTTGGCATCTCTGATATAGTATCTGCTCTTTGATATCATTCCTTACTAATGTCTGAATGTTAACACTGAAGTATAGTATTTGAAAACAAGTTTTTCTTTTATCCTAATTGATCTGTGAACACAATGACTTTCTTTTTTATTTGATTGCTCATGCATGCATTCATATGATGTGTCTTCAAGAGGTACTCAGTATAGAGGGGTAAATGATCAGAAAATATAGGAACATGCTTGTAATGTAATGAGAAACTGGTACACATGGTGTGCTAGATTGGAATAGTTATTTTATTTAGGTGATTGCTGATATTTGTTGTTGTGGAAAAATGGAACTTAGGGCTTTGGTATGGGAAGATATCTGTTTATAGACATGCTTTTATAGTTTGACTTACTGAAGATTGTACCTCTAGCTTTTATTTAGCTAGAATTGTGATAGTTCCTCACCAGCTTCTAATAAATAGATAGCATTTCTAGTGATTATTCATTCTCTTACTTTTTTTTGATGTTTTGATGTGTCCACTCCCCAAAATTTTGGTGGTCATGCCATTCTGAAAACATTTTCTATTTGAGTCTAATGCCATACTGGCTGGTCATAATGTTTGTTTTTTACTAAATTATATTGCATGGTATACACCAACAAATAAACAGTAAATGAATAGTGATAATAATTAGAGTTTCATGTTTCTATAAGTATGCATGGGGTTGAAAATACAATAAGAAGGCAAAACAATTTGTACATTGTAAATTGATTACTCAGAAAGATATGTAAGACTGTCTTTCACTTGGAGGAGGAAGTGCATAGTTGAAATCGCTGGGTTGAAAAGAAGTTGAATCATGTCAACAGTTGATATTATCGTTGCACTATCTGCCTTTGTATGTATGATTTCTTTTCATCTGTATTATCTTACTTTCCCCCAAATTAACCTTTATAGGATAACAGTGACACAAAAAAAGCTGGAGGAAGAGGCCGAGCTGTTATCTTCAAGGATTGATGGGTATGTTTGTCTTTCTCATTTTTCAGTTTCTCTTTGTCTGTAACTTTTTTAATGTACTATTGTACCAAGAAGTTTACTGCAATTGCTCTGAAATGCAACAGAAAATTAAGAAATTGAGAGAGTACATACTGCTGTGAAAGTTTTGTACTGCTGGTCTAATTATGATGCTGGCATGTGGTATAATCATCGATAGTGTTTGGATGAGTGTTTTAAAAAAATCATTTGTGTGTCCAGAAACTTTGTTGGTGTTCTCTGATTTTTACAAGGTTTGTAGACTTTATTTTTTTTTTTTTACTTCTCAGCTTTACAGAGGAAGCCCGGTCATATGTCCAACAAGGAAGAAAAACTTTGGTAACATTTTTTATCTTAGTTTTTGTTTGTCAATTATTTTTACATTTGGTTATGCTGTTTAGAGATGAAGAAGGAGATAGAGAAAAGAAAAGCAGTTCTGATACTGTAATCTCCACTTTAGATCCCACCGCTTATGGTCCCAGTTCGCTTAAGATCCCGCTGTTTAAAGAATACAAAAGTCAGCCCTAAGATCCCTTTGCGAATGTCTACATTTGGCTAAGATCCCGTATTTCAGATCATCATTTACGGACCAAAAACACAGGTGGGCACAAAAGATGAACCTAGTGTGAAAATTTGCGTCACAGATGAGCCACTCTTGTGAATGTGATCACATGTCTATTGTAAATCTCAATGAAATGGTGCAATGTTTGCCCCTGACAGCATCACACAGAGGTGTGAAATCACCAACAGGATCACACCGAGGTGTGAAATCACCAATGCGTTAATTTTCCCCAACCATCGCTTTTACATCTGAGCTCTCTGCTTAAACTTACATCAGATGCTGAGGGGTAGGGCCTACAAGTTCACTCCAGGCGGGATCACATTGGACTGTGAACTCTTCCCTGGCCATTGTTTCAGTTGTCTCTACTCCTGAATTTGCGAGACAGACTATGTTAATTGGTGTGGTCACAACACAATGGTGCGTAACGACAAAGGTGGAGGAACTCAGTCAGAGATGGAAAGGTCTAAATTTTGGACAGTTAAAGGGGAGGAGCAACTGGATAAGGGTAGATCTTGAGATCCCTGATAGGAAAATAAAATAAATAAAAATGGCATGTCTTATGCCACTGATTGGTCATCATGGCTGACCACTCTGTGCTCGCTAGAAGTCATAAACCCATCCATGGGTCACATCAGTTCATTTTAGAGTAAAGAGAGGCCATTTTACTGGTCGTGAACCTAGACATGGACACTGTGGATTCTTCCTTTGGTATGTCAACTAAGATCCCGCATTTTCCTTGCTCCCGAGCACCGGGATCTTACGCGGAGACTATTGTATTTAAGTTTTGCGATAAGAAAACAAAAAGCCACCCATTTTTTACTTTTCTAACTCTTTATGCAGTCATTACTTTCAGTTTATGGTGTTGTGCCTTTTCACTCGCTTTGTTTAAAGTTTCTGGGAATAGAACCTGGAAACATTTCTTGGTTCCTGAAGGCTTGTTTAGATGTCAATAAAGATATTTTTATGTATGGATCAGGGACTAGACTGTTTTATCCTCACTTTGGGTTTGAAAAGGCTTTTGTTATTATTCTGCTTTCTTGTTGTAGCATCCGTCTTTTCCAGTGCATTGCCTCACCAGTCTATACTTGGCATCTTAATTGACTTTGTTATTAAGTGTTACCATAAATATCTCTATGAGTCTCCTCACTGGTCCCAGTCTTGACGTCTTTTCACTTCACTATCTTGAATACCTTTACTTTAAGTCCACCTACTAGCCTGATGCAATGGTGTCCGCATAACAGCAACCCCCTTGGGAAGCAACCCATGGTTGCTGTTGGGTGGAGGTTGCTGCTAACTGAATTTTCAATAGGGGGGGGGGGGTGATCTCCTACCCACTGCTTCAATCACACACTCACACGCACGCACGCGCCTGCATGCGCAGGCATGAGTCCTAATCATGGGATATGGTAATTTTGTTACATCGGAAAGTGACAAACTAGGCTGTATCAGCTTTCAAGTGAGTCAAGACTCAATCGCAAGGTGGTATTGTAGCCACAGTGGCCAAGACTTTTACCCCCCAGCCTGGAGATTTCAAGAAAGTTGGCTCTTGGTGAGAGGGTCTGAACTGAGCTCCCATACTCAGTGTAGTGTATTTTTTGCCTGAGTAGGTGATGTGTGAGATATAAAAGAGAGGAAGGATGCATGCATCTTGAAATTATATGCCAGTCTCATTGTTCACACTGTTTTTGAAATGTCAAAAAGAAGCTTTGTCCAATAATCTATGGCAACAAAGGTTGCTTTTAAAGGAAAAGGTTGCTGTTAATGGGGACTATTTATATAGGAAAATTCTGTTACGACACCACTGAATTAATCATGTTTGATTTGAGTGCAAAGACTTCATTTCATCTTCCTCTTTTCCCTCCAAAATTGTTCTTATCAATGTTTTTCTATTGCTCTACACTGCACTGTATGACCAACATATTTAAGTTTTCAATAGCTTCAATGCTTTCACTTGTATCATCCCAATAGGCATTATACAGTTTACGAAAAAAGAAAGCCACCCAGAAAGTTCTTGACAGAAAATCTGCCTGCATTATGAAGCTTCAAGACATTGTCATAAAAATTGAGGAAGCAAGGACGAATGCAATGGTAAATATTTGTTTATGGTCTGTTTATATTTCAAAATTCTTTGTTTTATGTGTCTCATTTCCTGCTATTTTTCTTCTGAATAGTGTTGACAATCAAATGGAAATTTTATATATTTGTGTTCAGTGTTCTTTCTTCCTTTGGAATATATATATATATTATTTTTTTTGCACTAAGGACAATTAATTAATAATCCTTTAGGAAAGCGACTAGAGAGTTCATGGATGGATCATTCCGCTTGGCCCGTTTGGTCGAAATTTTTTGGGGAAAGTATGGTTATTCAAACAAAAACCCATTAACCAGGAGAAACGGAGATAATAAAAGTTTCGTCATCTCGTTACAAGGAAGGTAGTAGAAAAATCAAATTCTTTAAACACCTTGTAATATAGGATTTATTCCAAGAAAAAGCCTGCTCTGGGACAATTTGATGGACAATTTATATTTAGTTAGGTTCGATCAGTCATGTCAACACTGAAGATGTTGATGTTCATTCTGGTGTGCACTGCTCTTGATGCTTCTTTTTCAACGATGCCTCTGTCCCCAGGTGATTCCTGCCTCGATGTGGTTATTATTTATTACTGTAAGCTACATTTTGATGAGATTTACAAGATTTTTGAAGTTTTGTATTGAAACTTGTTTTCCAGGTAATTACAGCTTGTGAGACTGGAGTGGCTGCTTTGAAGTCCCTTGAAAAAGATTTGAACATTGACAGGGTAGAAGCAGTCATGGATGAAGTTGGAGAGGTAAGTTTAGATTAGAAGAGAGCGAATGTATTTCATTTCTTAAAACAATGCTCTGTCATTTTGTCGGCAAAAATTCTGAATGTTTGATGGAAAAAGGACCTCAGTTTACAGTAGCTAAAGCATCAGAGCTGTGTCTTATTGTGTTTTATATTTTTATCCGGCACTTATTTATACCGAGAAGACCCGAGAAGACCGGAAAAGACAGCCGAGAAGACACAAAAAGACACTAAATGACCCAAAAAGACAAATATGATTTATTTATTTATTGTTTATTTATTTGTCACACACACACCTTGACCTACAGTAGAGTGACCTAGACCTGTATTAATTACTGTAGTCGTATGATGTGTATCAGTTGCCTTCTCAAGACTATAGGCTATTGACAGAAAGCAGTAAAAAGTTTTGTAACCACTTTGCATCACGCTTTTCATCATCCTCAGTGTGATCGTCACCACTTCTGAAAAAACAAAAATAATGTTGATCCCTTGTGGACCTACTCTTAAAAAACTTCAAACACTTACACTGACACTCATTTCTTTCATTTGCTTAAAGGGGGTATAATTGTCTATCTGTTTGTGACAAGTAAATAAACAACAAATAAATAAACAATTAAATAAACCATGTATGTATTTTCGGGTCATTTAGTGTCTTTTCGTGTCTTCTCGGCTGTCTTTTCAGGTCTTCTCGGGTCTTCTCGGTAAAAATAAGTACCCTTTTTATCTAGTTCCATTTTGTTTCTTCAGGTAAAATATATTTATATGGTTCACTAATCAAATCTAGCTTATAGACCTTAATGTAAATAAATATCCAATTATGTTGTGATCTGTCAAGTTCACAGTCAAAAGTCAGTTCATTATTGTGACTCCAGGGTTCCTCATACATCTCTTGGTCCTATCAGACATAGACATATTTATGTCTGAGGTCTCCCCTCTTATAGTATTATTTAGGAAGCAAGATGGAACTCAAACTGCAAACTCTAACATTCTTGTTTTGCAGGCTTTGGAAGATCAAGAGGAAATATCCAGTGCCATGGAAGCGGCTTTCCCCGCCCACCAGAGAGATCTTGAGGAGGATCTGGAACAAGAACTGCAGGAATTGCTCTCTGGAAACAGAGATGAAATTGTTGATATCTCTCTACCTCATGATGATAGTTTGTCCCTCAAGCTCTCATCTCTATGTGTGGATGACATGGGTAAGAAAAATTCTCTTGTACTGCTACAAATTTCTGATACTTTTTGGTAGCTCGAGGTGGTTTGATTGAATGGGCGAATGGGCAAATGTTCCATGGCGACTGGATTAACACAAGTAACACCATCTAAACACCATCTATGGACGGTCAAATTGCTTATTTCCAAAAATGAATAATTTAATTTTGATTTGAGGTTGAGTAAAAAAAAAAATACTCTTTGATAAACCGTTCGTAATAATTTCTCTATCTTAGGATAAAAAATTTAAGATGATTGGGGATGAAAGATCTTGTTCTATCATCTCTGTGATCCCTCAAACATTCCACAATTTATGGAAATATTTGAACATTTGAAAAAATAGATGTTATTAATGTCATTAAAAGGGGTTTTCAAATGGTTTAGCTTGCACTAGTAATTACTGTCCTTTGTGTCTTCTTATCTTCCAGGACGCTTTTTTCCTTATTCTTACATGTATAATACAATGTATTTTTGCCTTTTCATAAAAAGACTTTTACGTGATTCTATAAGAAAGTCGGAGTTCTGTAACAGGTTTTTTTTTTAACACCAGCAAAATATTGCCATGGTCAACTCATTAAATAACCCAACAGCACAAGTATCTTCCCAGGTTTTCTTTACTTATTGTCAAAGAAAATGTTGTGTTATGAACAACAATTTAAATACAATTGTGCTGGTATCTTTTTCAGACTTGCCTAATGTGCCTACCCACTCACCGTCTGGATCTGCTGCCAGCAGGAAAAACAGTCCTTCATCAGTAAAGACAGCACTTTACTCCTGAGAGAGTGTAACCCATTGTGTGATTGTGATGGTAGAATGTTATCTGATATTGTACTTTGAGGCTGTCCCGGTTGTCTGTCCATTCTGTCTTTTAAACATCTATTTTGTACACCTGCAAGGCTGGTTTTATCACCACAGTTGTTTAGGGGTTAAAGCAAAGGAGACTGAGGGTCAACAAATATAACATGTGAAGAAAGTTGAGAAATTAACTCAGTCCTGCATAAGGCCTTGTTCTTAAAGTTACCTCCTCCCTCAAAGAGAAAGTGCATAAATGTACAAAATTAATCAACATTAAATTGTCTTTAATTTAATAGCAACCAGAGATGGTAATAATGTCAAATAAACTGCAAAACATAGAGCAGTCATTGTTTCTAGGCCTATCCCTGCTTTCTGGTTGTTGAAGGATGATGGTCCATGTGTTTTTCTTTGACGGAGTTAAGAAAATGAGCCTGAACTTTGTTTTGTTTCCGTTTCTTGTGATACCCCTTGGGCAGACTATTTGTCAAAGTTTGAAGAACACATTTTGAAATGTACAAAAAAAAAGTTTCAGATGTTTGAAAAAAAACAACTCAAACAATGTTTACATTGCTGTGACTAATTTGAAGAAATGTGCCGAAATAGCAAATGATTTATATAAAGTTTATAGCAGTTTATTTGCCACATTTTATTGTCCTATATTTTTATAGTTGTCTCTACTAATGTATGGAGCCTTAAGTGACTTATAAATTTGATAGAGAAATTGGATTATTATATGAATAGGATGCCCGGGATTTTAAAAAAAATTGCAAGAGCAGAGCGATGAGATTGAAAAGTTTTCTTTTGAAAGTAAAGTTCCCAATTCCTGAAACATTCACAAGTCACATTCTCCAAATCATTCAGAATACAAGTCACAGAGTAATTAATGAAAATACCGATAGATATCAAAACAAATGTGTTACCTCTCGTTCAAAACAAATGTGTTACCTCTCATTCTTTTAAGTTTACACTTGTTTACAGGTAGCTTTCCAATAAAGAATGAATGTCTTGTATGTGTGTTTTCCTTTTTCCTCGCAAATATTTTGAATACATTAGAGAATAAGAATAGGCTTGTCAGATTAAATATACTTTTATTGCAAGGTACATTTCAAGTGTATAAGCAAATACATCACAATGGTCATCGTGTTTGGCATGAAGATGTACGGTCATAGAAATTAGGGAATGTAAAGATAAACTGTACTTGACAAAATATTCATACTGACTGAAGAATAAAATTTTTTTTTTTTTTAAATTCAAACCAAAATGATATGTGAGGCATCGTGGTAGACACTCGTCAAGCAATTTTGAAAAATATTATTTTCGTCAACACCTTTTACGTCCATTTAAAAACAGATTTTGTGTGGATTTTACCCCAAAAAAATTTGGCGGCCATTTTCTCACTGACAACAGGTGACCACCACCTCCTTCAATCGCATATCTTGAATTCTATTCACAATAGATAGGTATTTTATTCACCTATAGCAAGACAAATTGACAAGCTTTACAGTGATACCAATAACTTCATTTACCCAAAATTGACGAACGCCTGACAACTGCTTCGTGACACATAGCCTAATATTATATCACAGTTCTGATTTCTGAGCCTCAATTGAGGCTTCAAAAAATTGAGACAGATTTTTTGTGAGGTTCGCCCAAGTACCTTTTTATTTTCCTGATCTAGATCCAGGAATGTTTTCTCACAGCGAACCAGAAACCATTTTGTGTTTATGATAAGATAAAGTTTGTTGCTTTAGACTCTCTGTTATTCAGCAAAAAGATGTACATTGTATTAAAGTATACAATGTATAAACTGCTGACGCCGATACTCTATTGATTTATCTTCTGATTTAATTGGGATTTTTATGGATTCTTAATTGAGATCAGCAAATGTATTTTGGCAATTGAAACATTTTTTAAGGAAAGGCATTGAGAATGTCTTTTGATGAAAATCTTTTTTTTTTCCATTGACAATTTAACTTTGAAGGCACAGCAGGAACATGAATGAAATGCGAAGTTGACAAGAGTAGGAATGTAACAATGACACCAGTTACATCTGTCATTAACATACTCTCTATAGAATCTATGTCTCGTGGAACATTTCACTCATCATAGTTGTATAGTCCATTCTTGGAAAAAAAACATGTTTTGAATTTTCTACCTTTTTCCTGTGATTTTAACTTATGGGATTTTCACAATTTTGTAAGGCTATTTGTGTTAGTGGGAGGAGCTACCCTTGAGGACCATTTTCTATGTTTGTTTCCCGAGATCAAATCTAAGTACACATATAAGTTAGACATAGTAAAAATCTCTTTATATGCAATTTTATTTTGGCATAGCTACAGCGGTTGCTATGGAAAAAACCGCCGTCTGGAAAATAAACAATGAATTTCAAATCCCTGAGGCTTTCTTATTTGCTGACCAAATTTGATCACATTTGGTGAGAGTATACCTGAACCAGACACTATCAGCGTAACAGCGAGTTTTTTTCAATAAGTTCAAAGGGAAAAAAAGAGAGAATTTTCCCAAAGTAAAATTTTTTTTCTTTTAAATTTAGGTTGCGTAATCGTTTGCCAATGGAAAAGTATTATTTTTTTCGCCAAATCTCTGTTACATTGATGGCAGCCTTGCCATCTATGTTTCCTGAAAGTTTCATGTCAAAAGGATGAAAACTAAGGAAGGAGTAGGGGAAAAAACTGCAAAAATATTACATTTTCACTCCATCCTCATGTTTTCAAAGGCAATTTATCCGGAGAATAAAGACTTTCTCAATTGTATCTTTGCTATTTTTAGACAAAAAACTGGTTGACCTTAAAAAACCAGCCAACATAAAATTTGCCTAGCCTGACCCAAAATCTGTAAAATCAAGGGTCGCTCCTCCCCTTAATGGTAAACATGCCTAATATAAGTCAGACTTTTTAATGTTTTCCTATTTCAATGTACAGTCACTGTTTACTTTCAATTCCCAGGATACTTAATATTCTATTTTTGTTGCTTTTTAGATGACCTAACCTGCATGCGTTAAATCCTTGCTTTGGCAAGGATATAGTGATGCTCTGAAATACTTAAATGTTGTAAGGCCGCTTCTATAGCTTTGACTTTGATGAGAAATATCCTTATTTTGAAAGGACATCGCAGAATGGTGGATTTTTTTTTTGGGGGGGGGGGGGGGGGCAGGGCAAGGCTAGTGTAATTTGAAGTGAAGACAGCTCTTTCATTAAGTCACAGAAGTTGAAAGCAGACAACTGTCATTCTCTTAAGATGGACTATAGTTTTTTTTATGCTTACACTTAGTCATAGTCTTATGACTGACTTTTTTTACTTCATATTTTGTTTGAAGATTTAGAATAATATTAATAGGGTTGTTTCTCGTCATTTGCAGAAAGCTGTCATGGTTAAACCATACATTATGTATACAAATAAAAACAACAGATTCAACATATTTAAAGCATACAAATAAATGTGTGAAATATCATTTAGAAGGCTTTTTTCTTAGTTTTTTTTCTCATACACTGTTTCAAATTGTGCTTTTCTTTCTCTGTCTGTATGTCTGTCTGTCTGTCTCTTTCTCTCTTTCTTTTCCTTCCTCTCTACCTTTTGAAACTAGCTTGTAATGATAAGGGTTTGCACCGTACATGCTCAAGATATGAAAAAGATAATATGTTAATCTATATAGAGGTTGTCTTTGTATTTCTTACTACTTCTGAGATGTATCCACACAACCTGCATTGATGTTGACAGGTAGGGTTGAAGTGGCCCGCCTCCTAAATGATCCAAATTGTAAATTGGGCACGAATACACACTGCAGTGGAATACAAACAAAAATGAGTTTTGGTTTTCAAAGGCCTATTTCCAACATCTAATAAGCCCAGCTGTGTGTTTTGGAATTTGAAAATCATTCTGTTCATTCAATTGTTTTTACTTTTACTCCTTTATTTATTTCTTCTCATCCCTTCTTCATTCTCCACTTCTCCCTCCCTTGAGTAAGATAGACAGACAGACACACGCGCGCGCGCACACACACACACACACACACAGGAGGGGAAAAAAACAGTAAAAGATACAAACTAGAAGGAGAAAAACAGCTATAGAAAACAATCAACATAGGAGCTCTTTGTTGTCAAGCATCTTTTTCCAGTTTCTGTGTTTTGAATTCTGATTTCTCCTTTTAACCTTTCCGGCTCTAGTGATGCAGTAGGCCTGTCACTTGGAAGGTGGAGGTTCAACTTCGAATGGGGTTTGAACAATTAAAAAAAAAAATGTTTCTGAAATGTTGCATCTCTCACTCTGTCTGTTTTTCCTAACGGGGAAACCAATGCCCCACTTTCGAAAAGTCCAGTGAGGCACATAACAGCCTCTTAGTCCTACTGTCTTCTGTCGTACATGCAGTAGGCCTACACCCAACTCTCTCCTCATGCTGTTCAGGTGGCATTGGTAGCTTAGTGGTTAGGCTACCGGACCCGTAAACATGAGATTGTGGATTCGGGGTTTTGAGCCTCAGCTCGGTCCGACGTTGTGTCACTGGGAAAGGCACTTTACATGAATTTCCCATTTGGTTCGGCCCTTTTGGAGATGGAACTTTCCGCTCGGAGGTCACCTAATAGTGTTGATAGAGGCATGAAACCTATACAATTTTCACCATTTTTTCACATGCTGTTCACTTTCACTTCCTTTCTGGGCCTCACCAGTAGCACAGCTGATATGTTGTTGATGGCCCTGGTTTACATCCCCTACTGGATGATTCGCGACCTTGAATTGTTTGGGGAGTTATCAAACCCCCCCCCCCTCCCCCCTACACACTCTTTCCTCTTGGCCACTTCTGGAGATAAACGTTGAATTCATGCAATGATGAAAGGGTGTTGGACCCGTACTATAGCAACTATCTTCCAACTTAGCTTGCTTCCCCTTCATTCAACATTTGCATTTTCAAAAGTTTGTTACTTTCTGTGGAGGTTCCCATTCCACGCGGCAGTTTCCTTTATTTCTGCGATTTCCAATAAAGAGCTTTCTATTTGGTCATTCATTTCCCAGAAACCTTTCCAATGGTTCAGTCGTCCTCGAGAAGCTTTGCTATTGGATCTCTGAGAAACGTACATGTATTTCACTGTATCAGCTATTCCTGTGTGAAGCTTCTTCATTGGATCTGTCATGTCCTATACTGTAAGATGCGGTAGTAAATGTTTTGGATTAATGCCCCTATTAACACTCTTGGATTATTAAAAAAGCAGGACCTCCGAATTGAACGTCCGTTCCCGACAGGACCGAGCCACATAGGTTGAGAGCCTTGAAAACTCCACAAAACGACACACGCCCAAGAACGCCCAGTGTGGGATTCGAACCAGGGCCGTCCGCTCTGTAATCCAGCGTGATACCAACTGAGCTAATAGAGTGCTGTAAGCAGCGTTTCTGTTAGACCTTTTATTTCCCATACAGCATCTCTCTGGGCAGGGGCTTTGGTTTACTCAGTTGTTTGACCAGTCTCTTCTGCTCCGGCGTGGAGCAGATGGACGGGAGGCTGCTGCTTGTTGGCCGGTCGTCGCTGGGCGTTATCGCCAGAGATTTCTGCAAAACACCAAAAGTACCGTAACGTGAGATTGTAGCCTACATTGCAAATGCCATGTACTTACAAATTCTCTACATGCCCACAAATATTCATATGTAAATGTTTTATTTAATTTTAAGTAGACTGAGATGCATGGGTCATTAAAAAAACAGCGGGTTTATCGTCTACTCCGTTGGTATTGATCTGGACTACGATGCAGATAACCCTGATTAACAATCCATGACGTGTTGTCATGAACTTAAGTTGATTGGTGAGTTTAGTAAGCACTCCACCGGTGTCTGTGGTGTAGCGGTTTGGTGCTCTGCACAGGCATGCAGAAGACTTAAGTTCGGTTTCTGTGTCGGGAGAATGTATATCTAGTATCTTGGTTTCTCAGCTGAGACTATGTATGCGCACAGTATGCGTCCTAGCCTGGGTTGATCCTGACAGGCAGGGCCGAAGCCCGCCTCCTAAATGATCTAAATTATGTTAATGGGAGCGTTTTAACGCCTACACTCATGTCAAATGATTAAAAAGATAGCACTTCGCCCACTTGGTTCTATGCAATCAGATGTGTATGTAAATCGAAGTAACATTTTATCAAATAATGTACCGGTAATTATACTGCTAAAAGAGACTTAAAATCTGTACGGTGCAATGCAAAAACAGCTAGACCATAATTATAAAATATGCAGGCTTGATTGCAGTCAGATAGGTCTCTGTTTGATGTGAGGAGAGTACGCCAGAGTGGAAGTTTGCCAACTTTGAAGCATTCATCTCGAAATGTTTCGTCTCTCTTGGCACCACTACTTAGCAAAAGTTGAAAGTTTTTCCATTTTTTCTCCAACGTGGGTAACGCAAATAGGTAAAATAACATAACAGCACATGAGACCTCACCGGTGTCTACGGTGTAGCGGTTAGGCGCTTGGCTGTCGCATGCAGGAGACCCGAGTTCAATTCCCGAGTGGGGATAAACAAATTTTAAAGAGTTGCGGTGTATCGGTCTTACTGTTGGAATGTTGTATCCCTTTCATCCCGGGTTGGCCCTGACTGCCTCCTAAATGATTTAAACTGTTTCGATCGGGACGTAAAAACACTCACATTGAAGTTACAGTAGAACTCCCTACTGCTGACAACATGGACCGTCCAAAACACTTCATGGTAAGAGCAATTTTTATTTTTTGCTATAAAAAGGTGGGTTTTTTTTAAATGACGCGTATAGCGTTAAAATATAAAAAAAGAGGAGAGTGCATCATGTATGAGTGGAACCTATGTGGAGCTAGTCATGTTTTATTTTTTGACCGTAATGCACCGGTACATGTACTCTAATCGAAAAAAATAATCAGCATTAATGATACTCCGAATAGCCTAACGATCCTTAGGTTTAAAAAAAAATGCTTGAAAAACAATTAAATGTCCTATGTATACACGATGCGCGTTAACTTACTTGAGGTAAAAGCTGACTGGGCTCTTCTGATAAGAGATTAGCAGAGAGATGATGTCTGTTTATGTGTCTTTCGTTGGTGAAAGTCCGTTCGTGCAAAAACGTCGGACCTTGAGTCATAGGCCTCCTGGCAGAACCATTTTCCGAAAAACGTCTGTCCTTGAACAGACGATCTTGTGTGCTCGTTCTTTCCGGAAGTGTCATCTGACGCTCCAGCTGGCCCACGAGTCTGTCCGGATCTGCCGAGTTGTTCTTCACGTGTCGGTCCCGCAGATTGAGGGAGTTCTGCAATGAAGTTTGGCCAGTGGGAAAACCATTGGGGTTTTCTTCGTTTGGACCTGAGCTGCCGGGTTGTTGAGACTGACTGTTGCCGTGGCTGAAGGTGTAGATAGTTCCAGACGGTTGCCTCTGCAGAGCGCGCTGGTTCACCACCATCGGCTGCTTCTCGCTGAACATCCGGTTAAAGTTGTTGTCCCTGTTGCTCAGCTCCAGACGATAGCGCTGCACCTCCCGACGGAGTCGCTCCAATTCTTCGTTGGCTTCCTTTAGGAAAAATAAGCAAACATGACATGAACATCTTGTTAGAGATTAGAGGGAGATGAAAGTGTTTGTTTGGTTTCTATTCCAAGAGGCATTGTGCCAATCGTAGAAATATGCATATTATACAATGTATTATAATTTGAAGTGGAATTTTTTAAATTACTTTTGTTAGTTGCCGTATTTGTTTGTTTGTTGTTGTTTTGTTTTTTGTTGGGTTTTTTTGGGAGGGGGGGGGGGGGGGGCGCAGCTTCTTATTCTTTGGCTCCATTTATCCTTCTCCGGACTACTGAAACCAACGTCTACACGGTGTTAGGGTTGCGTGTTTTCTCTGTTGCACCCAGAAAGCATGAACGGCGACCGAAGTGGGAAAGTTTATTAGTTTTTCGAGTAATTTCGATTATCTGCAGGGAGTCTGTATCCCACTGAGCCTGGATTGTGTCTGACGAGAACAGCCTGCCTTCTGAATGATTTAACGTGTGTCAATAGGGCGTGAAACATTTTCAATCATTTACTATCAGTGTCGATGCTACTGGATCGCTAACAACAACAACAACAACAATAACAACAACAACAACAACAACAACTCTCAGTGTCATTCACTGTGTCTCTGTGCTATTTTATGTACGCGTATTTTAAAAGTATTCATCGTCAAAGTTCCTATTGTTTTCAGAGTTATTGTAATCTTTCTTATTCTTGGTCTTCCCGGACAGAACACAACTGGTTGCAGTCGCACAAATAACGAAAGTTCAGCTTCTAAATCCGAGTTGGGTCCAAATAATTTTTCTTGCTATCGTTTCTACTGGTTATATTTCTCCTCTGTCCGGGTTAACTGATTAAACATTTAAAGCTCCCTCGGGTTTTGACCCAGGCGCTCTTACTGTCAGTACCAGAACCCCCTGGGTTCTTCTGGTTTGACCAATTATGACGTAAGAGACGTGGGCTCAGAGGAAATGGGCGAGATACTCGAGGAGATTTTGGGACTTGTCCTGGTGTGACCCCGGAGAACTGTTGTCACTCTGTCACTTTCCTGTTGACTCAGACCTGGCACTCGACTCGTCCCACGGGAGTCTCGAGCAATCCCGTGTATAAACACTCAACACCAGTGCTGCACATGCACGAGGAACTCCGACATGTTTGTTATGGTGACGGGCGTGTGTGTGTGTGTGTGTGTGTGTGTGTGTGTGTGTGTGTGTGTGTGTGTGTGTGTGTGTGTGTGTGTGTGTATGTGGAGGAGTGGTCATTAACTGCTCACATTAAAATTTGAAGCAAAAGTTTTACTCCCCCGCAGGTGCAATAATAATGTAGATTGTTTGGGAGATCTTTGCTTCAAACTTTAACACCACTGATCAATGTAGTAAGATTCTTATCCCTTTTTAAAAACTCCACCTATGTATGTCAACCCAGTTTCATTATACGATAAATCGCACACCCTATTCACCCAACCCTACCTAGCCTTACTTTCCAATCAAGAATTTTAACCACTTCCATCGTTTGCTTCATTGTTGTTTTCTCGTCTGAAGACAACATTGACCCATGTGCTACCTCTTCAAGTCCCGACCTCGAGTACAGTCTCCCCCCCCCCCCTTGCCCCAGCGCTCTCACTGTACACCTTGCCACACAAATACTCAAAGGGGCCAGGTATATTAAAACTAACACTAGTAATAAGTAAAAGGTGGCGCTTGCAACTTATATAGTTGTCTCGAATGAAGATACGTTTTAGGGGACATTTGGGTCGAACCATTAGGGCCTACTATTTATAACCTCTTTGATTGAGATCTAGTTACGTTCGACCTCTGATATTTCAACATAATTTCTCTTCAAGCAGAGAGAGAGAGTCGCTAACGGAACCGGACACACCAATTAATGCCAGCGACTGTTCAGCCGAGACGACAGTGCTTTGGCGAGGCAGGGGCACTAGAATTGTTTTACCTGCAGATTCAAAACCCCAAAGCTTGTTCAATAGACCGTGCTGATCATGAGCTTGTGCCAGACACTTTGGTCGATAACGTGTGCCCTAACTATCGGAGAGGCCCATGGTTTGCGGAGGTTACCGCGGCAGTACAGAATGTAGAGGAGAAAAAAGTGCTGCATTACGCTGACTAGCGATTTCTTTTTTTTTTTTAAAGGGCTGGGGGTAAAGTAAGAAATTGTATTCGAAGAGATATTTGCAACAAATGTTTGGCAATTATAAATCAAACCTATGGACGTTAATACACCCTGTTATTTTGACTCAGTTTTGATACTCTTTTGTTTTTTTCTACATTGCAACCAAGGGCATCGCTCCTGAGATGATGAAATAACTTATGCATGTAAAATAAGGCCTAACTTATACAAAAATTTCTGTGAGCCCTCATAGTACCAAAATGTCTGGTCTTGAAAAATATGTACCTTTCATATCATGAGGCAACACAAGCAACACCGACAACCAACATCATCAGTTCACATTTACTTAGTCATAATGGTAGATAGGAGTATATTAAACAACTTCTGTTGAGAACTGAAGAATACATGTAGTCGTAGGCGGACAAAACTTTGACTTCTCAAAGTTCAAAGGTACAAAGATACTTGTACATAGAAGTGGAGTTTGATCTCACCTTACATTAAAAACCGGAGAAGAGACGGAAGAGGTGTGCAGTTAGAGAAACAGGGGAGTCAAGACCAAAGAGAAGGAATGCCAGCAAAGGCCTATTTGCAACGTCTGTGGAGATAAAATCCAATACAATTACTTCTTTATGATAATTATAGCAAAATGTAGATCATCAATCTTCTCCTTGCACTCGCCACTCTTTCTGGAACACGTACTCTTTGCCCCCACTAGCCATTGGCGCTAACTCTGCAGTGTAAAACATAAATAAATCACAGCACAAAATGTATCGCATGCTCTGCCGGAACAGTGTTGTTTTGTTGTCGTTGTACCCCGCCCCCGTTTAGTTTTTAAACATTAATTTAGAAGGAACACGCTGTCAGTTCAACGTACAATGTCGATTGTTCCATTCCGTTTGTTAAGAGCAAATCCTTTGTCCATGTCCCCTTTTTCCTCGCACAAGCGGAATAGAACATGTATTGTTTACGTTGAAATGGTCGGACAAAGCCCTCACTTTAGGCTTACTCTATGAACTTGCCGATAACGGTTTTCATTGAAAGGCTTGTGCTGATATATTTAATGTGAATTACAAAGGCGTGAATGTGATTTGAGTACCGGTATAGTTCTATAAGACGCAATAATCTCGATTAAGCTGGTGAAACAAGACCAGTGTTCTGCCACTCAGAGAAGGAAAGTGAGTGTCCTCGAGAGAATTCACGTGAAAGCTGTCCAATAAACATTTGAAACATGACTGATTGCATCTATGCAGGCGCAGGTAGACTGGCAAGAGGACCGTCACACCGTCAGACAAACTCGCTTGGAGAACAGACAGACAGACAGACAGACGGACGGAAAGACGGACAGACGGACGGATGGATGGATGAATGGATGGGCGGACAGACGGACGGACGGACGGACGGGCATTGGATGGATGGATGGATGGATGTTGGATGGATGGATGGATGGATGAAATAGGGGGCGCACCAATAGCTTTGTTTATATCACGCTTGACTACGATGACGATGAGCCTGGTTCGAATCCATAAAGAGACGCCCTTGAACATGACTTGTTTATATGGAAGTTCCGTGGCTCTACAACAACTTGGCTTGGCCCTATCTCGAATGGACTGGAGGTCCCTCCTCTTAATACATGTAGTTAATTTTACAGAGCTGAAAGAGACGTGAAACCATATCCTCCCTCCTCCTCAAGCAAGCACACACACACACAAACACACACACGCACACATAAACAAACACACACAAACGCACACACACATACACACACACACACACACACACACAA